CCTTAAGAAATAAATGCTAGCACCGAGATGTTATTATCAGAGTAGTCGACAAAAGCTACGGCAGAATAGCTGGCCGAGATGAAGTGCAACAAGAAGCGGATGATCATTTACAAGCGTCCCGTTACCGAGCGGACTTGATAGGTGGGACAGATCATATTCAAAGTATTCGAGCGGATTCCGATAAAGAACGGACTGGAAATATTTGTGGAGATGGCGGCTATGGCGTCTCTCTATTTGTAGCGGCCATTTACTATAGAATTGCGGATTAAGCTTGGTCCCTAGACATAGTCTTCGGCTACGCAAACGTGTCAGACGAACACTTTGACTTCGGCGATCCCCTGGAGATACGTGGTTATTCTGCTGAATCCGGCACCGGCGCTATATGCCTGAGACGTGACCAATGCGATATTCACCCGCGCCGGATTCTGGCTCCCTCATGCATCTACCGTGTCGGCTCAACGTACAGCATTTGCAGGGTGAGGAGGAGTGCTAACGAGGATATGCAACCGCCCTAGAGCGGACTTCCGGACGTAATACGAAGGTCGAAGCTTTAAGATCAGTTCGACTCGCACTCAGTATAGTGCCCCCCGATTTAGCCTTGGCGGGCCCCAAAATACAGGGATCAGATTTACTGCACCCAAAAAGGGGTCCAATCAAATCGAAACAGGGCGGATCACGACAGAACCGCGAACCGATAAATCAACGGCAAACACCAATTACCACCACCTTAGCCTCGCCCCCGATCGCGCCGATCGCACCGACAGCCTGTAAGCCCACCTTTAGGTGCCGTATCTCGGGCCCAAGCCTGACACCTGCAAGGGTGGTCCTGGGGCAAGAGGCCGAGCATCTTCGAGGTGGGGCTTCGGGACCCAGTGCGAGACACCCTGGAGCGATGGAGCCCGGCCCAAGAGTCTGTGCCCTAGCCTACAGGAGTTGGGGGGCCTGCTATCAATTAGGGGCCGCCAAGGTGACCCACCGTTGCTTGTATTTTCAAGACGGGAACCTTTTTCACTAGCCAGCCCTGAATTACTGCTGCCCCGGTACGTCATAGAGCAATCCTTTTTGTGAACTGCGGAGGCTTGCGATAGAGCATGCAAGACGTTGACCATTCCGGGCATTCCTTGTATCTCTCGGCGCCCAGGCTATCCACGCTCAGATAAAGGCAGGACTTTCGGAGAGCGAAGAAAGTAGAGAGTCCTGGATTAGCAGCGTAAGCATCACACTCCAGTATCTATGCAGCTACTGCGTTTCTTAGATACTCGAGATACGGGACGCGATTATTCCTGCTGGGCACTAATCCTCGCTCCGGCTCATTAATTCCTTCGTTGGGAATAATACCCGTATAATCGTGTAGATCCGACAGGATCTAGATCGCGCGGTGGTCCACGGATTAACCCTGGCGTTGGCAAAGAACCCACCAAAGCGAGTGACCGCAAAACAGGAGCTCGCGATTCGTTCGACAAACAAGGAAACAATTTTCTTTGATTTAGTTGTAACCGGATCTATAAAAGACCGATCTTTGTAATCCAAGATGACAATTATTTCAATGAAAAAGAAAACAGTTTTCCCCGCGAACAGGCGCAAGTCAAGGTAGCGTGGCACTTAGCAGACGGCTTGGCTGTTGACGATGGTGATGATAGCAGCAACTTTGACCTAGTTAGGGTTAGGGTTTGATAGATGAATGGTTGAAATTAATTTGTGTTTTGTAGCTCTGATACCATGATAATTAGGAGAAAAACAATTTGTTTTATTGTTTTGATATGAGAATATGATACAAATACATAGAAAACAATACATGGCTCCCAATTGTAATACAACTCACACTCCTAGCTAGACAAGATATGGATCTGAGTGGGGCAGTATTGAGCCTGTACATTCATAAACATCAACTTTCTTGAGCACTCCGAACGGATTGCTTCATAAATCAGTATTTAATAGCTCATTTAAGTTGCTATCGATCCCTCGCTTTTGTTTAGTACAGAGGAGACTCGTCAACCCGTCAACGGTTGATCCCTGGAACGGGGACAAGTAATTCAAGATATACTTCTACGAAAAATCATATTCATGTGAAATAACACAGTCTCTTCTCTAGCTAGCCCTCTCTTTTCTTATTAATAATCACAATCAACAACCACCCCCAACAAAGACAGGAGAGAGAAAGAGATCAAGACGACAGTATCAATGATTAATAATCAAGATGATTACTGATTAGCATACCATCACCCCCCTAACATTGTCATCATCATCATTGATCAAGCGCATTAGGACCAGTACAATAGTTAAGCACAGGGTTCCAAATCCATTGCACAAGAAACCTCCTCCCCCCAATACCATTCACATTATAGGCCCCTCCATTCCTCTCATCTACCATCAGCTGTCCAGTATAAGCTCCGCCCCCACCCGTCCCGTAAATTCCCAGGCAGAGATCTGCGATCTCTGTCGGGAAAGACGGGGCCAGCGTTTCTGCGCGTACCCCGTTTCGCCATCACCTACCGTACCCAGGCAACGCCCCGCCGCTCGCCCGAAAACCCCCAACCTGCGCCACCAGGTGTCGACTGGGTATGGTCAGCGGTGATCGCCCACGACTTGCGGAGATGATTACCGAATCATAAAATATCCAATCTAGATTACTTATTCAATCATAATCTATAATCGAATGGTTATAATTATTGTTCTAGATGAAAAGTTGTAATAAAATATAACTCACCGCACACGAGTTACTATTTGATGTTGATTATTTTTTAAATGCTAAATAGATCATCCTAATTGGAGGGAGCTACAGCTTGCAAGATTAATTTAACTTTCCCCATTGCTGAATTTTTTGGCCAAACTAATAATTATCCTTTTCCCGAATTATTCAATTCAATTCCCGAATCTAACACTGACCTCCTCAGGTGTGCGGATTCCACTACTTCACATTCCCCTCCATAGTAGGGTACACAATGCCGTACGCCTGGGTCGGAAACTCCGCCACTCAATGCCAGCGTTTCTGCGCGTACCCGTTCGCCATCACCTACGTACCCAGGCAACGCCCCGCCCTCCCGAAAAACCCCAACGCGCGACCCAGGTGTCGACGGCATGGTCAGCGTGATCGCCCACGAGCTTGCGGAGATGGCGTCCAACCCCCTCGCCGAACGCTTGGTACGCTGGCTCCGAGGAGTTTCCGACCCAGGCGTACGGCATTGTGTACCCTACTATGGAGGGGAATGTGAAGTAGTGGAATCCGCACACCTGAGGAGGTCAGTGTTAGATTCGGGAATTGAATTGAATAATTCGGGAAAAGGATAATTATTAGTTTGGCCAAAAAATTCAGCAATGGGGAAAGTTAAATTAATCTTGCAAGCTGTAGCTCCCTCCAATTAGGATGATCTATTTAGCATTTAAAAAATAATCAACATCAAATAGTAACTCGTGTGCGGTGAGTTATATTTTATTACAACTTTTCATCTAGAACAATAATTATAACCATTCGATTATAGATTATGATTGAATAAGTAATCTAGATTGGATATTTTATGATTCGGTAATTAAGTAAGTAACCCTCTCGTTGAATAATTAAGTACAGTAGAGAGTACCATTTATTACCATTTACTTCACAATTGGAGATGTTAACTAAGTGCGAGTAACCTATATTTCGAAATGTGTAGCAATTTGCAATTTTACCCATTAATAAAAGAAAAGAGGCAAAGGGGACAATCTTCTTTATTCTCTTTTTGACAAAGGAAATCCTTTTTGTCCATTTATACATAAACTGACCCCACGTTAGAAATATTTCGCTTTGTCTTTAAGGTTGATAACTACGTACCAACGCCCAAGCGGCAAATTTAAATAAATTCGCATAAAACCGTTCAAAGTGATCGAGCTTATAAATTAAAATAAATTAAAATAAATTCGCATAAAATCTTTATATATATATATATACCTCACAAAAATCCTCCATGTGAACATCCTCCGCCGTCAAAACAAGATACATCCCTCCCCTGGGGTTCACCGGCAGCGGCCTCGTCCTCGCCGTCACCGCGTCCCTTATAATGTCCTGCACCCTCATCCTCGTTAGCCTCCTCCCGTACGAATACCCCCTGTCGTTCTTTTCCTCCCCCATCCGAACAATTCGGGTAATGTTCGCCCCGGTCTGGTCCGTGTACAGCCTCACCGTCCCCCACCAGGCCGAGGCGACCGCCCGCCCTCCCGGTGTCCCGAGCGCAAATGACCCGCCCCTGTGAGAAAGCACAGCGGATGGTGACTTGACTGCACCGGCTCTCCCCGGATGGTACCGCTGGTGCGGAAGCGCCCCCGTAGTTCCGCCCCGACCTATCCTCAAAAAGTACAGACTGACTGTAACGGTGACGCGTGCGGTCGCAGACGGGGGCCAACCACGAAATGGTATGACGGGAGGTGAGAAACATGATATAGGCAGGGAGGAAGAACGTACGTGCCTGTTCCCGTACTATTCCCTGGAGGCAGAGATTACAACGGGTCAATCAGTGTGTCAAGTACCAACCACCGGTCAGATAGGTGAGCGATTGCAATTCAAAATTTCTTTTTGCAAACTGGCCTATTTAAAAAGCGGTTTGAGGTTTTCTTGTTTAAACATTAAAAAGCTCCACGCCATTTGGACCATTGCAGTGCCCAGGCCTTCTCCAGCCGCCCCATTCTGGTGCAATTCAGCAAATACTGCCGGGCGCACGCCCTGACAGAGCGGCCGTGAAGGTGAGGGCTGCGAGGTGAGGAGGAGGAGCGAGGAGAGCGAGGGGGCACGGTAGGGAGGCAGGTATGGGGTTCGGGGGAGCTGGGTTGGCTTGTGGGGTGTTATCTCTCATGAGGGCACGGATCTTGTTTGATCAAGGCAGGGTGAAGGTGAAGGTGAAGGCGATACGAGTTGTATTCTGATCTCCTGAATTTCTAAAATTCCACTTCCGAGGGTATCATATCGGGGTCATCTTGAGCTCTCTTCCTATGAGCGATAGCACCTGTGATTCTCACACCCCCCATGCTGCTGAATAATACTATCACTTATATACACTTTATCTATTACTAGAATCAGAAGCAATACGATATATAAACTTTTTGAGCATACTACTACTATCCCAGTCATCTTCGTATTATTATACTGATTGATAGGTTATCAATTATATCGTCTTAAAATTTACATGTTTATCTACGCTATCTCACGTCTCGTGAGTTGAAAAAATTCAATATAAAAGAAGAAACGGGCCAAGAGGCTATGTAAGTTGGGGCGTTTCATACGTGCGATTAAAGTTCTCGATTGAAAGAGACAGTTAATATCTTGGTATGAATGCACTTTAATTTTCGGTGTGAAGACATGAAAATGATTACATCAGTGAGCCATACAAAGTAGATTACTACAAAACGAAACAAAGATGTCCCCTTCGAATCAACTAAAAGCTAAATGTAGAATTTTTTTGATGCGTCGCTGATTTTGCAAGTAATAAGATCACAACATAAATACCTGAAGTAAAAAAATAAAATATATGAGTTCATGTACACGCCGGTTCCTTCGTCGCGTCGGTGGGGCCTCTTGTATGAGGTAGAAAATATATTATTTCGTTGCATGGTGTTACAGAGGGATTCGGATCCTCTTCACTGTCTAAAAAGTAGTGTAGGGACCACTACATAATCATAACCATTGATTATCTAGTTGGTGGTTGTGGTTTTTTCTCACGAGGGTATGGTGAGTGTTATATTTAGATTGTATCATAACCGCATATTAAGTAATCAACGATTAAGATTAAAAGTACTAGCCTCTCCATTATCTTTTTTGTAATGGAGAAGATCCAAATTCGTTATTGTAGGGTTAATATAAAATTAAAACTTCTTGATCTACACTAAAAAGAAAAAAAAAAGTGTAGCCATCGTTAGGAAACTTATTAGTTGACTTTTTTTCCTCCCTTCTTTTTTAATATAGGCTGATATGAAGAGCAGCACAAATTCAGAAAATTGCAGAATAATCATGCGGAAACAACCTTTCCCTTTGCTAATTTCCTTTTCAGCACAGTAACGAAAAACTAATTTATTACGGGTAATGCGAGACAGCCCAAACCGAAGAACAGGATGCTCAAAGACCAACTGACGGTTGGGCCCCGCTCAACATTAACTAGTAAAAGGACCCCCAAGCTCTACAAAGAGCGAGAACCCAACTGGCCCCCCAAATATATGTTTAGCGGACACGTAGTCCTCTGCGTACTGTGGTCCCAATGTAGACCAAAGCCTGCGGGCCCCGTACTCACATGCGCAGCCCAATATATGTCGATGGGCCCGCCTGCCATTGACCAAAGCCTGCGGGCCCCGTACTCACATGCGCAGCCCAATATATGTCGATGGGCCCGCCTGCCATTTGATTGATGGAGTTTTCAGCGCTTTTGGGGCCCATGGATCAAAGAGTTGGGGCCTACTACGAGCCCAGCGCTCGAGATGTAGGGTTAGCGTCACCACTAGGTAAGCATAAACTGAGTAACGGTGGTGATGAGTGCAGGTGGTTACTGTTTAGCAAAGGGTTAAGTAAGGGGTTAAAGTGACTTAATCCATTTTTAACCTGTCAAACACAAAAAAATCTATACAATGGTTAAAGTGAGTCAACCCTCCATAATTTGTCAAATATAAAAAATATAGAAGCGTCAAGTTAATCCTTCTAGAGGGATTAAAATGAGTTAACCCCTCAAAATAAGGGGTTTACTAATACTCCTATTTAGAAGGATTAAGAGTTAGTCCTTCTAACTATAAAGAAAATTGTTAAAATCCTTGTTATTCCCAAACACTAAAAATAATCACAAGGGCTAAAATAAAACTTATATAATGAGTTAATAATTTAGTCTTTCGGATTATCAAGTAGGTTAACTATGTTAACCCTTCTCCTTAATCCCTCTTCTTTAACCCTTTACTAAACGAGGTCATAGAGACTAAAAGGGTCTCAAGTACGATTACGTGTAACTGAAGGTTATTATTTATTGGAAAGGTAACTCATGTATTTTGAAACAGTTGCAATTGACATTTTTAATATTAAAAAATCATTTTCAATCTTTAATGAAGTTTTTTTATTTTTTGGAATTTTAGATAATGATTTTAATATTTTCATTATTTTTATGGATCGGTTGCAACTAGGTTGCAAGTGCGACTTATGCTTAAATTTGTATAATTCAAAAGTTGCAACTGGGGGGCATTTACAACTGTAGTTGAAATTGCAACACCGAGTTGCAGT